GAATGCTTTTTCTGTGTCTATTGATGTGATCATGTGATTTTTGTCTTTCAATTTGTTTATGTGATGTATCATGTTTATTAATTTGTGAATATTGTACCAGCCTTGCATCCCTGCAATAAATCCCACTTAATCATGATGTATGATCTTTGTAATATATTGCTAGATACGAGATTTGCTAATATATTTTGTTGAGGATTTTAGCATCTATGTTCATCAGGAATATTGGCTTGTAATTCTCTTTCTTTGTAGTGTCTCTATCTGCTTTTGGAATTAGAATAATGCTGGCCTCATAAAAAGAGTTCCTTCCTCTTGAATTTTCCGAAATACTTTGAGGAGTATAGGTGTTAGTTTTTCTTTGAATGTTTGGAAAAACTCCCCTGTGTAGCTGTCCGGACCTGGGCTTTTGATTGGAGGGAGATTTTTGAATACTGCTTCCATTTCATCAGTTGTTATTGGCCTCTTCAGGTTTTTGATTCTTCCTGATTCAGTTTTGGGAGATTGCATTTTTCTAGGGATTTGTCTATTTCACCCACATTGCCCAGCTGTTGGCATATAGTTTAGTTGTTCATAGTATTTTCTGGAAATCTGTTGTATTTCTGTGGTGTCAGTGGTTACTTCTCCACTCTTGTTCCTGATTTTGTTTATTTGGGTCCTCTCTCTTTTTTTCTTGATGAGTCTGGCTAATGGTTTTTCAATTTTGTTTATCTTTTCAAAAAACCAGCTCTTGGTTTCATTGATTTTTATTTTTTAGTCACTATGTTATTTGTTACTGCTCTAATCTTTATTATTTTCTTCCTTCTACTTACTTTTAAGGACTTCCTTGTTGTTCTCTTTCTAGTTCTTTAAGTTGTAGGGTTAAATAGTTTGTTGCTGATATTTCTTGTTTGTTTGCTTTTTTTTAAAGGTATGCCTGTAGTGCTACGAACTTCCATCTCAGGACTGCTTTTACTGTGTCCCAGAGATTTTGGATTGTTGTGTGTTCATTTTCATTTGTTTCCAGGAAGTTTTTTAGTCCTTTCTTGATCTCCTTGGTAACCCATTCATTGTTTAATATGCTTTTTAGCCTCCATGCGTTTGAATGTTTTGGGGTGTTACTCCTGTAGTTGATTTCTAATTTCATTCCACTGTGATCTGAAAAGATGCCGGATATGATTTCACTGTCCTTGAACTTGTAGAGAATTGTTTTGTGTCCTAACATGTGGTCTATCTTTGTGAATGATTCATGTGCACCTGAGAAGAATGTATAGTCTCCTGCGTTGGGGTAAAATGTTCTATAAATGTCAATTAAATCCCCCTGATCCAATGTGTCCTTTAAAGTCTCTGTTTCGTTATTAAGTTTTTGTCTGGAACAACTTTCCAGTGAAGTGAGAGGTGTGTTAAAGTCCCCTACTATGACTGCATTGTTGTTGATCTCTCCGTTAAAGTTCTCTAGAAGTATTTTTTTTTTTTATATACTTAGGTGCTCCTATATTGGGTGCTTATATGTTTACCAGGGTTATATCCTCTTATTGGATCGATCCCTTTACTATTATGTAGTGACCTTTTTTATCTCTTGTGATGGCTTTCATTATAAAGTCTATTTTGT